CAATTTCCCTCAAAAGCATACTGGGTTCCACAATCACCAAAAATGATGGCAAAATGCAGTTATTCTTGATCTATGTTATCCTAGCTACTATACTTCTTCTGCTTTAGTTGGGTCTAGTGCAGTCTCTGAGCTACTGGACATATCTGGGTCCTGACTCTTCAGACATTCCCAATTTCCCTCAAAAGCATACTGGGTTCCACAATCACCAAAAATGATGGTAAAATGCAGTTATTCTTGATCTATGTTATCCTAGCTACTGTACTTCTGCTTTAGTTGGGTCTAGTGCAGTCTCTGAGCTACTGGACATATCTGGGTCCTGGCTGTTTCAAAGATTTCTTTCTTACCCCCCAACAGTTTCATATCTGTCCCTTACAGAACAATTGGGAAACATGCAACCTTGATGTTACACAGCTATTTGGCTTTCATTCCCTTTCCTCATCTGATGGTGCCTGCATTCACTTTCTATCGAGCTGTGGGTGCCCAGAGAATTCTGAGCAGGATGAGAATTGAATTTATAATAGGAAGTGGGAAAAACAGAATGCAAACATCTGAAATAGAGACAGTATATCTGTCCTATGCCTTTCTGTGTATCACAAGGACAGAATTGTCGGTCCTAGGTACTGCAAATAACTGTATCTTACAAAAGGATTTGATTTTTCTTGTACTATTGGGTCGCTTAATCTTTTATGTAGAATCCTTCATCCTGAAAACATTTTAACTTCCCCATAGGCAGCTTTTGACAAAATGGCACAGAGTTATAAAACAGCTAAGGATTTAAAATATCTAGTAGCGTAAGTCAGGGTCAGTTCCCTTGTTGGATCTAGATTTGGTCATGCTTAGATTGAACCCTCTGAAATCAGATGGACTTAAATTAGCCAACTTACTAACCTAAATTTCATTTAGTTCAGTAGGCTGGATCTAAGCATGACTTAATCTGGACCCTATCCAATAAGAACATCATAAGAGCATAGGAGGGCTGTTTTATAGCCTTCTTTCATGCAAGTAGAACATGTACAGGGCACCTGAGAGCTAATGCGATATAACAGCTAGTATTAGGCAAGGACTGGGAAGACACAGGTTACATTCTAATCTTAGCCATGTAAACTTACTGGGTGGCTTTGAGCCAGTCATTCTCTCTCCGTACAATATATCTTGCAGGGATTATTGTTTTTGAGATAAAATGAAGGGAGATCTCATGTAAGCTACCTTGAGTTCCTGATTGCTGATACCCTGGAGAATTTAAAAAAACAAGCAAACACCAGCATGTGTAGGGATATCATTTTGTACATTCAGCATGCCTCCAGTAAAACTGGTCACAGTAATCTGCAAGCCGTTTGCCAAAGAGGAAGTCAATAGTAAAATGTGCTACAGATTGTTATTCTGGTGCAATTCCAAATAGGCTGTACTGCAGAGTACAACAGTAGTTCACTTTACAGTACAGTCCTAAGGATACTTACTCTGAAGTAGGTTAAGCTGAATTCATCAGGATTTACTCCCCGAACAATGTGTACATAATTTAGAAATATCTGATTGAACTCAAGACACATTTTTATATACAAATTTAATAGCTACAATTTACCAATTTCAATATTCAGAAAGAAAGTCCCTTTAGTTATTTCACCAAAATAGTGCAATTCCTAGGACAGACTTGAGGGAACTTTAACATTTGCAGAATTAGAGAGCTATGTAAAAGGGGCAAAAAAGCTCACGAAAAAGAAACATGAGACCACTCTCAATATACTTCTGTGAGAGCTTGAAATAACATGTAGGAAATAAATAGAATAAGTTTGTGACTATCTTAAAACATTGTATGAAATCTCAGTGGTAATAACAGTAATTTAATTCATTTTTATGTTTTCTTATTAAGTTACATTTGTTCACAGAATTTGTAACCTATTTGTCATTGATAGCAGAATCTCAAAGCATGGATAAACCATTTTTTTAGTGTAATGAAATATTATCTAGCTTTTTATAATCATAAAGGTATTAAAACCCTGTAACACAGGATGGAAATTCTAATACACAGATAATCAATAGCAAAACATGATGACGATGACGATGACAACAGTAACAATGTGGTACTCTCCATGGTACTGAATATAACCATTTAGACCCTCTCTTACATTGCTGCTTTACTAGCCTTCTCAAACTGTAGTTCAAACATTTGGACAATATCCAATAGGAGAAGTCATTGGTTCATTTGTCAGATTCTTTAGATATAATATACAGTATATCATGAGATTTGTTTAACAAGATCTTTAGTTGGGGATTAATGAGATGTTTGAATCTACTGAGCTGGTCCTTAAAATAGTACAATGGATAGATTGGATTTATTTAGAAATATAGATTTTTTAAAAATGTTTTAAACATTTTGAAAAAAATGCATTCTAGCTGCCACTTTAGGTTTGAAGACACCTGAAATGGACCTTGGCAGGAAGTGAAATATCAGTACTTTGTGCTACAAATCTGTCTTGATTCCAAGAACAGAAGAAATGATCTTATGTCCCACTGCCAGTCATTTGTTTTCTGGTTCTGTGTGCTTCATGCAATCTTTGTGGGTCTTCAAGAAGAGTTAGCAAGTTCTCCAGGAACACTACATAGTTTAAGAGTCCTTTCTAGTCATTCCTCACCCTCATCCCCACCCTGCCAAATCAATATGTTAGGTTTTAGGTGCTGGAAATTTTATATTGCTTACAGAGATTGTATCTCTCATTTGTGTCTTTGTATACTAGTTATAAATTATATGAATACATATATGAAATACATATGATTAAATATAAATTATTGCTGATTATCCCCCAACAAGGGTTCTACATATATGATATAATTAGTGCCTGTCAGCTGTTCAAAATAAGGTAAAAAATGAGAGACAAGTCTGCCTCCACCAACAAACCAGCTGATTGGTGCTGTTGAGAGGCTTCTGCCAAACAGCAGCCTTGTGGTATTGGTATATTGCTATGCAAAGATGTTGAGCAGCTATTCCATCTATCCTTCTCTTAATGATGAAGGGCTTTCATCATTAAGAAAAATGCCAAAAGAAATGGTGGGGAAACATGGGAACATTATAAATGAAAAAGAACATCCAAATCTCTTGTAAAACTTAAAAATCTATGAGTAATGCAGGGTCCTTGCACCACAAATATATTACAGTACTTGGGAACAAATTCATCAACAGATGTTTCTCTTGTTCTTCTGAGAGTCCATGAAGTCATATTAAACCAAGTAGCCAA